TATGTGGACCGAGAACTCCCAGAAGTACAAGCTGGATTTTGAAGGGGCAGAGGAACTAGAGACCAAATTGCTAACATGCGCTGGATTATGGAAAAAGCCAGAGAGTTCCAGAAAAACATCTACTTCTGCTTCATTGACTATGCAAAAGCCTTTGACTGTGTGGACCACAGCAAACTACGGAAACTTCTTAAAGAAATGGGAGTGCTTGACCACCTTATCTATCTCCTGAGAAACCTATGTGTGGGAAAGGAAGCAACAGTTAGAACTGGATATGGAACAACTGATTGGTTCAAAATTGGGAAAGGAGTTCAGAAAAAGAAACAATAGCCACTTAAAATGAGACCTGAGCTGGGGGTGGGGAATGAACTCTTGGATTTCTTGCTATTTGGAAGGATGCAGACAGACACAACTACTTCTCTGAAACTTCTAGTTTTCATGTTTTTCCTTTCTTTTTCTTTTAGGGGCTTCCCACTTCCCACATTGTGTTTGGAATGACTAAAACTCTTGAAATGTACCAGGAATTTCTTTCTCCTAAGAGAATATATGTCAATCATTTGTTAAAAAAGAGATTGAAAGGGGGAAACCGGGCCAACTGCTTTGAAGATGAAATCCCTTGGGAAATCTCCCCTGAGACAGCTGGCCATGGCAGTCACCCTAAGGGAAAGTAAGAGGAATTTACTGATTATGAATGCATATTTACCTCCATTTGTAGAAAAGCAGAACTGGAGGAAAACTTGATATTCCTAGAAAACTACATAATGGCCCTTGTTTTAAAAGAGCCAGCTGACCTGAACCTGTTAGGCAGTGACCTAAATGCTCATATGGGCTCAGATGATGATTTTCCGGCATCTGAATTTAAAATGATTCCTAATGTATAATAAATGAGAACCTAGAGCCCCCTCCCATGAGGCAGGGGAGGACTTTTAAAGACCAATGTGCAAATTACGCCGGGGCCTTCCTGTATACATTTGCTCATAGATTGGGCTTCTTTGCTTTAAATGGCTCAACCACAGGTGAATTCATGTTTATGACAGGATCTAAAGCCAATTCAATTGAATATATCTTGGTGTGCAGAGTTCTCCTTTCCATCATTGAGCACTTTTGAATGTTACCACATCAGGAAAGGGATCATTTCCTCCTTCTCCTATGCATATGGTTAGATTCCGGAAACCTACATCTAGAATCCAAATATATTATGATTTCACCACTAGAAAGAGATGGTTGCCAGGTGAAATGGTCCCTAATGCAGGTACAAAGACTGAAGTAGATTCTAATTTGGGAAAACCCGATGGATTCTCTAGGTTCATCAAGAAGCCAGACAGTCAACCCAAATACTCTAGCCATCCATGACAATTTCATTCAAAAGCCAAATCTATGCCTTGTTCACCACAGTGAAAAACTCCAGAAATCGTATCTCTGCTCCAAATCATGGTTTAATCATATTTTGTATGATGGGGAGGAACACACTAAACTGGAGATACCAGCAATACTTGTGTTCATAAGATCAGGGTAAAAGAGACGCCCTCTGAAAATTGCAGATACAAAAAAAGAATACAGTTGATACCATGTGGCAGGAAAGAACACACTAGACAACAGTTGGGTCAATTCTGTCCAGACCTATTTGCTGAAAATTGTCCTTTCTCCTCAGGAGATCTTATCTTATGGAATAGGTCAGGCAAAAAAAATTAGCTGAGCAGAGAATTGAGGATACAGAATATCAAACCAACCTTTCCAGCATACAAAATACTGTGGTCAGGGCCTACATCAAAAACTTTGGGGAACCAGCCAATGATTTAACATCCCTGGAAGTAAAAGGGTTCAGAAGAGCCTTCACCTTGGTGAGGAGTTAGCCATTCCTCTCTTCCACTGTACCTGAAGGAAAGTAAAATACAGTATCCCTCTCCTGGAAAGGCTTTGTCCTTGCCCCTTAAGGCAGGCTGACAGAGCACAGGTTCACCTGCCCCCATTATGAAGTGGCATGTAAGGAGATCATCATCCCACTGATCAAAAAAACTCGTCCTTCAGAAAACAACATCCCTAAGCTTCTCCTTTCTATAGATTCCAAGATCACTTACCAAGTAGCCAGATTCCATATGGAGATACTCAGGTCTCAGAAACTCTATGGTCATTAGATATCAGATTTTAAATTGTGTTTTAATGCTAAATGTTTTTATAAAGTATTTGGAATTCTGGAAATTCGTACAGGTTTGTTTATGTTGTACAACTGGTCTAAGAACTGTAACAATAAAGTGACTGATTCAGGAACATTTAGGAAAAAAATCACTGACTGCAGCATCCTATGGAGAACATATGTGATGGTGGTAAACCTGGATTTGCAACAATTGTGTTATGAAATGGATTTAAACAGCTGTTTCATATGAACCCAGTTTTAGAACAATGCTGTTGGATGCATCCCATACAATCTCCATGACTGAATCTTGACAGAATGCTTCACCAAGATGGATTAAGCACACCAGAGGTACAGCCCATCAAGTCCAGTTTTCCAACATGCCCAATTGATGTCTCTGGGAACCACACTCTTAAGGCAGCCTTTTTTTTTGAGTAATGTGAATTAAGTTTTCAGTTAATTAGAACTCCTCCAGTGTATGGCGGGTGTTGATTTACTACATCTTCTTTTGTCCATCCATTTGATGAATGGTGTGTCATCTGCGTATTTGCAACACCCCCCCCTAAAATCTTTTGTCCACTAGCACTCAGTGAACACCAATAGTTAAATTTCAACAAACTTAGCTTATCACTTGAGCAACAATCAGCTCCTCTGTGCCTTTAACACTATCATCTTGAGATCTACTACACCAAGTAGAACTTATTTCCCCATATGCAAGCTTTGCTCTGTATGTTGAATTTAGAGGTATGTAAGTTTTGTTTTGGCTGAAGAAATGCCATTTACCACATCTGCTAGCACCCTTACTGCTTTCCTGAGAAATTGATGACTTTCTGCATTACTAATGGGTTACAAGAAAAGTTCCTACTGCTGAACATTGTCATGCAGCCTTAAAATACAAAAGAGTTAGCGAGATTTGACTTTTAAGTTCCCCAGTAAGAACTCCCAAGAAGCTTTCACAGATTCCTTTTGTGGATCGTACGGTGCCTTGTAATATATGTAAGAAGTCAACCGTAATGTCTGTCCTCACTAATGATACAATGGTGTACAAAATAATTGGTCCTTCAGATATTTTGGGACTCCCACTCACCATAGCCAAAGTGCAGGATTTATGGGTTGCAGTCCAAAATGTCTGGGGGACTAAAAATTCTCACCCTTTCTATATACAAATATATCAGGATTACAATTTCTAGGCTTTACCCAATAGTGTTGGAACATTAGCCATTCTTCAATGACCTTACAATAGATTTCCAATTGAAATCTATTGCCTTTTCTTTAACCTGTATAGATGAGATGCTATAGGCAAATGGTGATTTGCTTGGAAATAGTAATGCAGCAGGATGCTCCTATATGTCCTTTCATGGGAACAATGGCAAAAGAAATTCACAAGTCTGCAGGGAGAGAGAAAAAACCCCAGACACTTTGATTTTAAGTTTGTGTACTGAGGTTCTACTCAAACGCAAGTTCATATGAACATCCTCTTTCTATGAGAAGCTCTAGCACAGAAGTAGGGGCAAACCAAGCTCAAGCAAGTAGATGAAGTAGATTTTGTGACTGGAAAACAGGGGAGCTTGGTTTGGTACCAAGCAAAAAGCTAAGTCTTGCTCCCCATATCTAGCCTTCATTCTCAGATGAACAGAGGACAGAAGCCTCATGGCTAAGTGAGGATTCAAAACTGGCTTTCCAACTACAATAGTTTCTCATTCCACATTGCATAGCCATTATGCTAGCTGAAACATGTTCTTGCACCATTGAATAATGTGTAAGTCGTCAAATGCAGATATCCCTAAACAACATTGCTACACAAATAAATAAATAAAAAAGCAGAAAACACAGCAGGCCATGTAGGTCATCAATGTCTGTAATAGAGCATGCACTCATTGCAAATTTATTGTAGGATGAAAATTCAGTTTCCAACGATATAAACTCAGGAATGGAGACCATTTGAACAAAATTGTCATCTTTTGTGTGTGCGTGCTTTTACTAAACATATTGAGGCATAAACCCTTTGAACATATTAAAACCATGACAGCAATACAAAAAAATGTAATTAACAAAACAGCTTAATGCGCCATGCATTTTCAGTGACTATACTATTAAACAACATTTAACAAGGCAGCTGCTATTGGCTAATTGTTTTCTCACCTATTCCTTCATTAGGAAAGTCAATCTGGTTCAAACAGTTTTCAAACTGATGAGCTTGTAGAACAGGGGACAGTTTCACAACACGGCCCACAGACCAGGGGGTTACACAGTTTTACAGAATGCAAACCTTCAGCCAATGGTTCGAATAGAGGACCCAAGAAGATAATCCATCACGCTAGAGGTCATTGTCTCAACTCTCTATCGGGGACAATGGGTTTTTGAAGTGCTTCACAGGTCATGAAAGATGGACATGAGTGTTATTTAGTACCAAGAGAATCTGAGGGAAACCTGCACAAACCTTGCCTATACTGTTATTATGTGGGCCAATGGCAAACCTTGTTAACAGCAGTGCTAGATGGGCGCTTGCTGCTAAAGACAAGCAAGGCTTCAGTATTGAGCCTAGATTATTTTGGCTTCCTGGTGGTATGTGGACAACTCAGCTATTATAGAACAGGTCAGCAGACGTCTTAGGACTGTTACTCATAAAATCCCTTCTCATTGGCTATACTGTCTAGGATTGATGGAGAAAAACATCTGGAGAGCCAGTTCCCCCGATGTACAATGTTTTTTTAAAAGCAAGCTTTAGGACAGTGGTTCCCAACCTTGGCCCCCAGATGGTGTTTTTTTTAAAGCAAGCTTTACGACAGTGGTTCCCAACCTTGGCCCCCAGATGTTCTTGGACAAAAATTCCCATAAGCCTTTACCATTAGCTGCAGAAATTCCCATAAGCCTTTACCATTAGCTGCGCTGGCCACTATTTCTGGGAGTTGTAGTCCAAGAACATCTGGGGACCGAAGGTTGGGAACCACTGCTGTAGGGTGTAGGGATGACATGTTCTTCTTACTTTATTCTTCAGGCTAGCCAGAAAAGTTATTTTGTGAGCGTCAACTCCAGTAGCAACACTGGCGATGGGATTCCGGGAGTTGGTTCAAAACTGAGCAGAGGCAGAAAAAGAAGTTTTTAATAGCTGTAACCAGTCATGCAGAGGTAAGGAAAAAGAAAAACTGTGCTTATGCAACAAGCTACCAAATGTTACCCCAGGCCAAGAGTCCTGTCCTCCTTTGCTCACCATGGTCTTAACAGGTCTGCATATGGAGGTATTATGAAAATATTGGGACCGAATTTTAAATCCACACCTACTAGCATCTTTGCCTCTAGAGGTACATGCTAATTAATGAAAAAAAAATCAAAGAGAGACAGACCCAGAATAAAGTGATTGGTAGGGAGAAAGAGAATGGAAGGTTCCCTCTGCTCCTGTTCTGTTGGTTGCTGAGCTTTATTGCCTGCACAGCAGGCAAGCAAGAAGTGAGGGCAGCAAAGGCCAACCATACATAGGCCAATTCTTGTCTCTTTACAACTCTCTTCACCAAAATATCCTTCCACTGCCCGCTGCTCACCTATAGTTCCTTTTCCCTGGAGCCAGCCAGGGTTGATCTAGGTAAAAGTTCAGAACAAGTACAGAAAATTGTTCCTGAAGGCAGAAAAGGAGCAGGGGAAAAGCTGTAAAGTGCCGAGATCTCTTTGCTCATACTAGCTGGATCTGAAGGAAGGGAGGTGATGGAGGTAAGATTCTGCTGTCTTTCCAACTGAAGGCTCTTGAGGGAGAAAGTCACAAAAAAGAGGCTAGGGGAGGCAGTTGCTCTGTGCCCCTTGAGGCTGCAAAGGTGACTGATAATGTTGGAGGATGGAGGAGCCGGGCAAGGCGGCGGCTGCAGTAGCAGATACATTTGGGAAGGGATAGCCATCCTCCACCTTCACAGCAGCATACTCCACACTCGCCGAGAAGCCATGGCAGAAGTTCATCTTTTGCTGACTGATATAGCTGATGGCCTGTTGGCTGTAGGAGGGCCCAGGAGTTTTCCCAAAGAAGTTCCCCTCCTCACCACTCACAACTGGGTAGAAATTCTGGGGGCTCCCATAGATCTGGTGGTCACCACCGCCGTAGTTCTGGCTGTTTCCGTAGGGCACGTTGCCAGCGTAGTTCTCGTGCATGCTGGCCAACGGGTGGAGGTTCCGACCATCTGCAATGCTGTAACTTTCATGGTAACTAGGATTTATATCCAGATAATTGTTCTGCGAGAGAAAAGAAGTGAGGTTTGCACACACAAAAATACTTGGCACTGGTGTTCAAATATATCTCAGTAATCCTTGCAGCAATGCTGTAAATTGGGCCAATACAGTCATCCTTCTATTGCAGGTTGAGCGACAAGCACAAGGGTAGCTACTGTGCGCCCGGCAGAAGATTTCCTTTCTATTATAAGAAAAAGGAACGACAGTTCTGCTATAAATCTTCCCCCCCTTCCTGAAATCTGTCTACCCTGCCTCCCCACCACGAGGTAGAAGACACAAGCGTTTCAGTAGAGCAATGAAGGACAACTACTGCTTAACCCTGGCTTAAATGATTTAGTAGTCCCAGCACGATTAAATGCTTAGTAATCCTTTTAGGAAGGGGTTTAAAAGGCAGAGGAACTTCAATACAGTTTGCCATTAGTCCCAACAGTCTGCAGTATGCTCAAAACTGGAGACAGAGTTGGAAGGTTTTAAGTTGAAACAAGTCACACTTTTTCAGTGCCAGGAACCGGCTGAGATTTGCTGCATGAAAAGCATGCGCTTCACCCACTGAGTGATGGCCCTTGGCCCACATTTCGCTCAGGCCTCCAGGTCTGAATAACTCACACTTGTTCAGTGAGTCAGAAGACCTGAGAACTGTCAGCCAGCTTCTTATTACCTGAGGTTGACACATTCCTTTCCTGATCCACACTGTTTCCTTTTGGGTTCGCTTAAACTTCATCCGCTGATTCTGAAACCATGTCTTTATCTAGAAGATAGTCCAGGATGAGAAACGTCTTCATTAGTCTGCAAACAACCCATACGCAGGTCTCTTTGCGTCCTTTACAGAAAGGTACTTTCCCCAGTCCCTGAAAAACGTGGGCAAAGCAGGCGGCGAGACACAAAGGGACAAGCTTGTACAAAAGACTTTAAACGGGTTTCTCGTTCCTTCTCTTGAGCTGTGCTTTTGTGTAAGCGAGAAGAGGCCATTGTTACTTCTACCTCAGAGACCCAAATGTGGATCCTACTGGCTATGCAGCCTATGAATAAATATTTTATTGATTTGTCTGTTAATAAGACAAATAAAATAAAAAACCCTACACATCTGCACAAGTTACAAACAAGAAATACCAGGGGTAGGCAAGTTGTGGTCCTCTAGGTATTGGGCTGCAACTTCCAACACCCCTCACATTTTCTATGCTGGGGAGCTTCTAATAGTTAAAATAAAAAATTACCACCAGATTGCTGCTCGGGATCCTAATCCTAACAGCACTTTTGTTAACTATTCAAGACACCCCTTCCTCTCTTCTGAGGCTCCCAAAAGGTCCCCTGGGACAAAAGGGAGCCCCAAGAAGTCCTGGAACCTAAAGAGTGGGATAGGAAGCTTTTAATAACTTCAGATTAAATGTTTCCTGTGTCTGATCCAGGTTTTGCCAGTGCAAAGTTATGCCACAGGATTTTGCCCAGAAAATGTTCATGGGCTTTGGACTGTCAACTATTAAGGGGTGTGTTTGTTAGACTGAATTTGCTGGTTGGCAGACACAGTCCACGGCAATGACTTTGATGTGCTCTGGAGATATGAATTGATAAAAATACTATCTAGGGCAGAGGGAGTGGAAAGCAATTCCCTGGTGTGTGTGTGTGGGGGGGGGAGACTGGTTGAGTGGAACACTGAACAAAAGCACCCCCACCCTTTCAGTATTTTGTAGCTCGGCATTGAAAGCGTCTGCACCATTTCCAAAATTATAATCTCGGGATTCCCTTGGAAATGTGAATGATTAAAGTAGCATAATACAAAATATTGCAGATAAAAAAAGAAGCTCCAGCAAAGAAAGCAGGGAGTAACAGCACACACATCTTCAGTAAAATGTTACAGCCCTTCCCTTGTAAACTCACTGTGGTTCAGTGAGGAGAGGGAGGGCGGTTTTAAGTTTATCCAAAGAAAGCTGTGCAAGAGGCACAACCAAAACTCAAAAGAGTCTGGAGCTGAATTCCTTCCCCAAGTCCATGGTCTCCAGAGGGGCTGTCCACCCACCCTCCAGCCAGCATCTGCCAAGCTCACCAGATTGGGAAAGCCAACTGGAGTCACGACAAGGGCAAATCCTTCTTTGCCACCTCCGGCGCCTTCCAAGCACTTACCTGCTTGTAGGTGAGTTCCAGTGCTGTGGCCAGTTCTCTGATCTGTTGTGGGCTGAGGTACTTCTGACTCTGGAATCTGCTGTGCAAGATCTGGAGCTGCTTTTGAGAGAAAGCTGTGCGGGTTTTGACCTTTCTGCCCCCGGAACTATCTTCCTTGGGTCTCTGAGGCGTAGAAGTCAGCTTTGGAGAAAGGGGATGTCTGTTGGGGCTGGTGGCAGAGTCAGGAGTGTAAAACATGAGCGCTCCAGAACTGGGAGACTTTGGAGAGATGTCTAGAAGATAGCGAAGGTGATATAATTAAATATGATACAATCAAGGATGCATGCCAAAGGCCAAGTAGAACAGGAGGATTTGCTTTCAGTGGAAAGAAGGTGATGGTCAACAGCAATTACAATATGGGTCAGCCCTACCTACCTGTATCACTGGAATTCGAAGCTACATAAAATCTGTACAGCAAGTGCATATACAGAAAATATGGCAAATGCTCAGAGGGTTATGAAATTTGAAAACTTGCACACTTACAAGACATTCATTCAATAAGCTATCTGCTTCCACCATCTTACTACAACCAGCTACAGGTATTTACTTATAATCAGTAAGCTCATTAACACCGTTAACAGGCTGCAATGGGCACCACTGCGTACATTCACAAGTGCAGGAACCGGCTGATGAACCCCAGCTCTTGGACAAAGTTGGGAAATGGCCCGATTCGTTGCCCACGTCGCATAAAGAGGCAGGGTTGCAACCCGAACCAATAAGCCTTTCATCCGCTCCGGTTCTCCCCACTCGCCTCCCTTTCCTTTGCCAAGAGGATGACCTTTTTCTATACCTTGGCAGGAGGAGGCCCTTCCCTCGCACCCTAGGCTTTGTCGCCGCGGTCTGGAAATCTTTAGCGAAAGGAGAAGCGGGAAGCCCGCGGGCCGGAGGAGTTCGGCGCCCCTCACGCGGGCAACTCCGCTTCCCCCGAAGGCAGCCGGGCTTCCCTCGCCAGGGCGGGAGTCCCGCGCCGCTCCGCAACCTCCTCTCTTCCCTCCCCCCCACTCCCCGCCAAGCGGGGGGGGGGGGGGACACACGTTTAAGTGCAGTGAGTCGGGAGCGGCCACAGAAGCCGCTGCAACAGCACTCCGAAACCCCGGAGGGCTTCGTTACTCCGAAACTCGTTACTCCGAAACTCCTCCTGCTGCGGGACCGGGCTGCGAGGAAAGCCAGGCTCCCCACTCTTGCACTTCTTCCGAGGCAGTCCTCCGGGAAGAGAGCAACGGCGTGGGGACACCCGGACTGCCTCTCGCAGGCTTCCCCGCCGCCGCCGCCCCAACTCTCGGCGACCCAGCGCCCCGCAACCGCCCAGCGCCCCAACCTCGGGAGAGAAAGCGGTCGGACCATCTCCGGATCTCTGAGGCGCTCGCATGCGACCTTTGGCGGACCCCCGCGCCCCCCCCAACGCCATGGGGCCCTTCGACCTGCAGGCCCTCGGCGACTCCTTGCGGAGTTCCCCCCTCCCCTACCTGGGTTATTGTCGGGCGCCTTCTCCTCCGGGCCGCTCGAGGCCGCTTCTTGGGTGGGGAACCCCTCCGAGGAGGGCGCCGGCTCGGTCGCCCCATTCTGGGGGGTGGCGTGCCAATAATAGCGGTCGTAGCCGGGCCCGCTCACCACCCCGGTGGGGTAGACCCTGTAAGGGCCATTGAGGGCCAGGGGAGCGTGCATGGGTGGCGGCGTGGCGGGGGCCCTCGGGAAGAGCCACTTAAGGGGCCCCCTCCGGCCCTGGGAGGGGCCTTTTTATGAGCGGCCTTAACATGACAATAGGAAGGGTCCGCCCGCCTTAACGATGGGCCCTGATCGCAGGGGCGCGGCCTCAGGTGGAGGGAGGTGTGCGGGGCCAGGTTGGCTAGCCGGAAAACTCCGCAGGCCCTTTGCTCCTGTGGGCAGCTGGGGTTGCAGCTGTTGACACCACCGTTCAGCAGCTATGGATCGCCAGGTGTCTTTCAACAGGGTCGCCCACCGTCCCTGACTCTTGACTGCGCGCTGGCGGGGGTTTCGTTTGTAGGCCAGAAGAAACCTGGCAGACCTTCTTGGCCACCTGGGTGGAACCGAAGGCCAGCCTAAGCCTGAATGATCTCAGTAGGACTGCCTTTTGGGTGGTCATGGGGAAGAAAATAAAACGCAGAGCCATGAAATCAGAAACAGATCCTCATGATTATTAATGTGATTTTTTACAAGAGATCCTGGTCAAACCATCAAAAAGCCATAGGTCCCATCCATCTCTCACCACACACGACACCACAGAAACCACGGGACCTTCAGGGTAGTGTTTCAGAAACACGGATCCCAGGTGTGGATCCTCATGATTTCATATGATTTTTACATGAGATCCTCCCCAAACAACCATCAGATCATAGATCCGATCTGCGCCCAGAGACTAAAGCAACCAACCGTGGATCCGATCTGCGCCCAGAGACTAAAGCAATCAAATCCTTCAGTGCATGACTTCAGTGAAACAGAAATACGAATCCAAGTTATGGATCTACACCATGATGTTTGTTGTTTAGTTGTTAAGTCATGTCCGACTCTTCGTGACCCCATGGCCCAGAGCACGGCAGGCCCACCTGTCTTCCACTGCCTCCCGGAGTTTGACTTTTACATGTTTTTAAATTGTCTTTTGGGGATGTATCCAAAGTTATGTAACAAAACAAAATACAATCCAGGTCACCATCACGCTTAAAGAATGAACCATGGAAACCTCAGGTCTTATACTTCCCTTCCCTACTAGAATGGGAAGAAAAATTAAAACCATGGCATGAATCCTCTTAGAGCCTGTTGTCTTCTTCAGAGGAAGTACCCCCTAGCCATGCCAAATCACTGAATACATGTGTATCAATAGACATGACAATAAGCGTCACAGATACCTCCGTTCATATTTTATTTATTTATTTATTTGATTGTACATCTGTATCAATAGACATGACAACAAGCGCCACAGATACCTCTGTTCATAGCACCATCGTAGTGCAAAAAACATGGACATAAGGCACAGCACCATTGTAGTGCAAAAAACATGGACATAAGGCACAGAGCCCGTTGTATCAGCTGCCTCTGGTGAAGTGTTGTCTTTCACAAAATTATTAAAGGTATAGCCATTCTGGTCACCTTTCATGTAGCCATCCTGTCCTTGGTGAGAAACATCTCCAGCAGCACTATAGCATCCCCACAGCCATCATAGTCAAAGGATAAACCCCTGGTCCAGAGTTGACCCTCCTGTTCTATTTCCTGTCTGTTCTTGTTCCAGAATGTCTTGTGTGTGTAACCTATTCAATCATTTTTCATGCACCTGCTCTTGTTCCAGAATGTCTTGTGTAACCTATTCAATCATTTTTCATGCAGATGAGAATATATTTTGCTGATAATGCTTAGCAAACTCATTGGATGTAACAGGCTGGATCAGATCTACTTCCTTTTTTGTAAATCGAGATAATGATGGCTAACCCCCAATCTTCTGGGATGCACACTGTATGGTTCACAACCAATGTGAGCAGTGTTCACAACCAGAACTGGGGGCCTACCAGATCTACAATTTGATGGCAACTTGTTGAGGATGCCATGTGAAAAAAAATCATAGGGATCCATGAGGATCTGTATCTTGGAACTCTGTTTTTGTAGTGCAGCAAAGTCATAAACGGATAATTTATGTGATTTAACATGGCTCAGGGAGGATCCCACGTAAAAATCATGTGGATCCATACCTCAGATCCATGTTTTTGCATCACTGCAAAGCCTAAATGATTCCTGTGGTGCAGTTTGTAAGAACAGATGGGACCTATGATTTGTGAATAGTTAGGGGGCAGATCCAGGTTAAAAATCATGCGTATTCATGAGGATCCATGCCTTAGATCAGTGTTTTAGTGCCGAACCAAAGCCACACAACTTATGGATCCATGGTTCCTCTGGTGTAATTTGCCGGCATAGATGGAATTAATTACTAGACAGTGGTTTGAGGTGGATCCCATGTACAACTACTGTGAATCCAGGAGGACCAGCACCTCCATTTTATGTTTTTCAACCACTGCAAAACATAAAAGAGATCATGATTTTTGTGCTGTCATTTATGAGCCCAGATGGAACCTATGGTTTGATGGTGGTTTGGCATGGATCCTGCCTAACAATGATTTGTTTTTTTTATTTAATGGACCCACTTTTACTTTTTTCCATTTTGTCCCATGCGCTGAAGGATTAATAATTTCTGTGGGAAAGTCTCTTGGCATGGATAGAACATATGATTTGAGGGTGGTTTGGGGAGGATCCCATGTAAAAATCATATGGATCCATGAAGATCCACCCCTGCAAAGCTATGCACTAAGTGATCAATGATCATTTGCTGTGTCTGTGGGCAGATATGGGGTCTGTGACTTCACTGTGATTTAGAGAGGATCACACCTAAAAGTTATCTGGATCCATGAGAATCCATGCCATGGATTCATATTTTGCTCCACTTTCAAAGCTAACGTGCCAAAGGACATTCTGCTTGTAGTCTGTCGTATAGATGGGACTTATGACTGGACAGTGGTTTTAAGAAGCTCCTACTTAAAAATCAAATCCATGCCATGGATTCATGTCTTGCTCCACTTGCAAAGCTACGTGCCAAAGGATATTCTGCTTGTAGTCTGTCGTACAGATGGGACTTATGACTGGACGGTGGTTTTAAGAAGCTCCTACTTAAAAATCATGAGAATCTGCACCTCCGATTCATGTTTATCTATTGTCTCTCCTACCCTCAGGTGGCCTTCTCTGGATGGCAGCCAATTTTGGAGTCTGCTCTTTGCTGCCATCCGATGGCTGCCCCCTTCTATTGCAGCCAATTTATGAACCTTCTCTGCCGCTTTCTGGTGTCCTCTCCGGTGATGCAGCCTATCTACGATCCTCCTCATTGCTGCCTTCCTCTGTCCACCCTTTGCTTTTTGCAGCACATTTATGAACCTGCTCTCTGCTTCCCTTCTATAGCCTCCACAATAAAGCAGCCTATATAGGAATACCAGAGGGGGAAAATGAGCTGGCTCATAAATAGACTGCAGTATCAAGTTGGCCACCAGAGAGCAGGTTCATTAATTATGTAAACTGCATTTCCTGGGGTGGCCACCCAACGCAGAGAGCAGGCTTATACACAAGACAGCAGTTCCAGGGTGGCCAGCAAAGGGAAGAGCAAGCAGGCTCATACTGTACCGCAGTAGTACAGTGAGACCAGCAGAGGGTAGCAGCGAGCAGCCTCATAAATCGACTGCAGTACCAAATTAAAGAGCAGGCTCATATATACACTGCAGTACCAGAATGGGCTTCCCTCTGCTGCCCTTGGCTGGCCACCCTTATACTACAGTCTGTTCATGAGCCTGCTCACTGATGCTATCTGGTGGCTGCACTAGTATGTACTGTATATGTGTAGACACCCTGCCTGTGTATGGGCCTGTTCATGATCCAATCTGATGAGTATTTCCTACACTCATATCACTATTAATGACTATTATTATTATTATTAACTCATCAATCCAAGTCATTAATAAAAATGTTAAAGAGCATCAGGCTCAAAAAATGATACAGGATTAATCTGGAAAGATTTGTTCTTGATAAATCCATGTTGGCATCTATTTATTCTTGCATTGTTTTCAAGGTGCTTGCCGAGTGACCACTTTATAATCTGCTCCAGAAGTTTCTCTAGAATTGGTATCAGGCTGACTGCTCTGACGTTCCCAACTTCTTTCTTTTTGAAGATAGGAAAAAATGTAGCCCTCCTCCAATCGTTTAGCGCTTCACTCATCCTGCATAATTTCAAGAAAATAATAAGATAGTGCTTCTGAGAGTTCTTCAGCCATTTCCTTCAATACTCTTGGATGCAGTTGATCCAGTCCTGGAGATCTGAAAGGCAGTAAACTATTTCTTGACTACAACAGGACCCCCTGTATTCATAGGCTCAGTACCCACCAATTCATTTTCCTCCAGAGTTCTTCCACCATCTCTATTGGTTCAATCAAGCCAAAGACAGGTAATCCTTTAGCTTCTTCCTCTTTATTATTTTTTTTGTAGAAAATTATCAACAATACAACCAAGGAATTTATTGAAAGGGCCATATTTGGCACTAGCTTCTTCCTCTTTTTTTGTAGAAAATTATCAACAACACAACCAAGGAATTTATTGAAAGGGCCGTATTTGGCAGTCAATTCTTGATAAATTTTACAAATGATGTTGTTTTAAATGTTTTATAAATGAGGCACATACCCTTCCATTAGTAACTGAAGTCACTTCATTGATAATGTGGCTCTACATTTTTGTTTCTAGTAGGAACCACTAAGGATACTCCTCACTGCTTCCCAAGAGGCTTTTCTAGATCACTACATGATGTGTGTTGAAAGCAGTCCTAGAAGTGCAGCTGTGGTTCTGTGTTCCTGCTGATCCTCTGCTTGCAGGGTACATTTTAATACACACGGGCTGGTGATGGAAGAACCTCTGCCATAATAGACGGCAGCAGTGTTCCACAATTCCTACAAAGGTTGCCTGCAATATGTTGGTTGGTTTGCCTATTCTTGTCAATTATCTCTACTTAATTTTATGAAGATGAGGACTCTCAGATGCAGTTTCCAACATAGGAAAACTAGACCTTGATTTAATGGGGTTTTTTTAAAAAACTATTGCCAAGTATTTTTTTTTCAATAGTTGCTTTAGACCTTGATTTAATGTTTTTTTTTTTAAACTGTTGCCAAGTATTTTTTTTTCAATAGTTGCTGCAAAAGTACTCAATAAGGTCTGATTCTTTGTTTAATATAACCTGGTGCGATCAGAAAAGGGAAGCACTGAATCTCCCCGCTGTAAATGAGCAAAACATGATGTTTGCATAAAGACACAATATCACTTCATGTATAATCCCTAGTGCCTTGAGGAATGAGAGAGGAACAATGACAATGAAATAGCAAATAGCCATAAGAAAGGAAAGACTGAGAACGGTTTCTTAAAGTAATAACTTGGGCTGTTTTTCGCTGATGTGATTATCAGTAAGGCAAGGATTTCTATGACATGTCATATTTTTACTGCAACCTTCATTTAAATTTATAAGTTTTAAAACATGCTTGGGAGTAATCAGGTAAGAATTAAGTGGTTTTTAAAGTAATATTTTGACCTTTTAAAAGGGTCACATCATATTTCTGCTTAATTTTGTCAGAAACGTATTTTGGTTGTCAGCAATTTTCCTGATGAGCCAGGAAACATGATGAGTCAGACTGCCTGACTCACCTAAGTGACTGCAATGGCTGAGGGAGAGGCATGTAGTAGAGATCGGCAGTGGAGGGCACTATGTTCCTCGAAAACAAACTGCAGCACATGTGAGCTTATTCACTGTGGAGGGCACTGTGTTCCTCGAAAATAAACTGCAGCACATGTGAGCTTATTCACTGCACAGCCTTTTCCCTGATCTGCAAAAGTCTTGAAGTGACATCAGCAAGAGCAACTTTTTAAAAAAATAACTTCAGCAGGCAAAAGCTTCTACCCTGCCCAGGCCAAAAAAAGTTTTTTTTTCTCCTTTGCTCCCCATCTCATGGTGTGTGGGTGGGTAGGTGGATGCTGACCAGGCCTGAAAAAAAAAGGTGAGAACATGCCTCCCCCCCCCAATTAACCATTTTCTCCCTAACTCAGGTGTGTGTGTTTGAGACAGTGAAGTCACATAAGAGTTGCAATCTGATTTCAACATGCCTAAAAGTAGATGTTTGGCAAGTGTAAAATTACAGCATTCCGTTCAAAAGTTTTGGGAGCAAATCTTCAGTAATGATGGTGATATTTTGTTATCAGCCCAAAACCATTTTAGTATCAAATAACATTTGTATACAGTAAAACATAAAGTTGTTTAGTAAGATTTACCTTCGCTGTTGTAAACTACATGAAGTTATCAGCCTAAAATCATTTTAGTATCCAATAACATTTTTATACAGTGAAACATAAAAAGTTGTTTAGTAAGATTTACCTTCGCTGAGAACAGGCGCTATCTCCTTTTTGAGACAGCTTCCTCTTCAACTGTGGGTTCATCAGTTACCCAATCAGAATTTTGTAAGGTTCTCTGTACAATGTGGTTACTTCAAATATTCCTTTAAGGAAATTAGATGATGTTACCTTCAGACATTTCAGGAAGAAGTACACCAGTCTCTCAGTTCTAAATGAATCTAGCCTGCTATGAAGATGGATTAGGAAAAATAAGATCTGCTGTTGGCAATAACAAGATATGGGTTTCAGTAGATGAAACAAGTGATGTAAATGGCAGATACAGTACACAGCTAATATTATTGGCACTCAGTAATGTGACAAGCTTGATGAAATATTCCTTTACAAAAAGTAAACAATCAGCTATCACTACACTCTTTGATGATTCTATAAAACTACTCTAGCTGGCTGGTGTAAAGAGGGGAAACAACCTCCTCTTTGTAATAGATGCATTTCCATACACGACTGAGGCAGCCAAGGGAATTACACTTTTTTTTATCCAAAAATGATCCATACATGCCTTGCACATGCTTTATGCAGAGTGGCCAAAAAGATCTGAAGCTACTATCCTAATGTAGATAATTTCAAATGGGAAAAAATGTTCATCAAAGCTCTACTTCAAGTACAGATGTTCAAAGAAATTGCTGCTACTTTGGCTGTCCCTCCCCAACCTGCTGAGATGTGTTGAGGGACTTGGCTGGATGTTGCTATGCATTATTCCACAAATCATGATTCCTTGTAGCAGACAGTTAAAAGAATCTGACTGTAGTAAATCTTTCTCTATCAAGATTGTGCAAGGTTCTTTTTCTGAAACCTTGGCCAGAAACTTGGCATATATAAAATCTAACTTCAGTGGACTATCAAGAGCAATCACCTGCATTGAAAATGTAGGAATGGAACTTAGTGATACACTGAAAACTGTGAAACAAGCAGAAGATGACTTAAAGCAAAAGGGAAAGTGGCTGAAAAAATTAGTAATAAACTTGGTTATTCAACATTTTGAAAAATAAGTAACATTCTAAATGGACTTGAAGCAAAATTTGATGACTTCGAGCCAGAATTTTCTCCAGATGAGTTGGCTTTTTCCAAATTTGTTCCTATTACCTCGTGATGGCAAATGGAGCTTCTTCAGAAACAAGAACATACTGATGGAGGGTTCTGAGTGTGATAACCTCAAGATGTGTCTGATCATCCAAAGCAACTCTGCTGTTGATGAAAACTAATCCAGGTTTAACTATTTTACTCTCAAAATGTTCATCTGATTCATCCAATACTAGCACTTCTGCACTGGAAGTGAAAAAGAATATAGATTTTAAATTCTATGTGGTGTGTATAAGCACAAATTTTTAAAACATGGGTGCTAATTTCAGAAAAATTATAAAGTCACATTTGCCGTTTTATTGGTCATATTTAAACAATTTTAAGGTCATAAATACTTACATATTTCTGACACTTTTAAGTCATAGAAATCCTCAACTTAATAATCAAATATTACAAAAGCCAAGAAACGCCAAGAGAGAGACAGAATTCTTTGAAGTGTCAGTATTTATTCAAATGGTCATTTTAATAAATACAGGTACTTCTGATAATCTTCTTTCTCTGTTCGCTATGTTTTGTTTCCAGTGTCTTTCTCCGCTCCCCCCCCCCAATTGGGACAGGCAAAGTATGGCCTGTAGACTGAATGCAGTTACCCTCTCCCCTGAAAAAAGTGTTTAAATTTTTTTTTTTTTGCAAAAAATTAGTCATGTTATGCTCCTGGTGGCTGCCAGGGGCCTTGGTGCCATCCCTTTAAGGTCCCCCCCAAAAATCAAAAAAATCAAAAACAGAAGTACCCATCCACACACTTCCCTCCGTAATAATACAAGCTCCATGCAGTCCTCACAAATACAGCTCTCAAGAGGTCTGAGCTTGCCCAGTTCTGTCCTACATAGTGTACAACCATTTCCCATTCAAAAATTAAAATGGACATGGTTTGAAAATCAGCTGTTCCAGATGGATGCCCAGGCAGATAGTTGCCACTACTAAAGGTAAGATATGAACTGAACTAAAATGTGTCTGCTCAGTTCAGGCTCAAGACCCCTAAGTGTCTATTGGAACAACAAACAAACAAACCAACAGCACAAATTGCCAGAGACTTTCCACCAGCAGAATTCCCTTTATTTTAGATTATTAATAGGATACATAATGGAGGCACTTATCCCAAACTACTGGGAACTTTTTTCATCTAAAGATGAAGGAACGAAGGCGCCATAGCATCTTTACACATGGCAAGAAGAGTCGAGAGGAAGCAAACCAGATCAAAATGAATGGCAGTAGGAATCCATGCTACCAAGCAAATGCCATCTTTTGGAGAAGTAACCAGTAGGTGTAAGTGGTGGGAGTTTATGCAATGCACTGATAAGAAGGAGACAAAACTGTTGCTAGTGGCTTCAGAGACAAGGGATCGTTTGTGAGAAGGCAACATTGATTATTAGGGCAAAACGGCATAGAGTTCAAGCAGTAAAGGCACAAAGGAAGTTAGCACCATCTGGGAAGGGTCCTATCACCCAGGACATAAAGCAAGCAGTGACTGCTCCAATTTAGGTACAAAGGGAAGAACCCACTGGAAGAAACACTTAAGGCAGATGGTGTGTGTATTGCTATTCCTTACATCTTATCTCAGGAAGGGTGAGGTATCCCTGACACGCTTGGACACTTTGGGGCAGGGAGGATTAAGTGTTGATTTTTTAAAAATCTAGGATTTATACAAATATTAATACAGAAGAAATATATACAACCACAGCCCAGGGAGGGCAGAGTGCTTTACTAGACCTGTTGGGAAGGTGCCAACGTTGCCCACTAACTCTCAGAGCGGTAACACAGTTCCAGAGACAGAACAGCCATCAGCCACAAAACCTCCTCTGAGAGAAGAGACTCCTTTGGGAGCTTCTGCGGGACTTCTCAGCAATGGAATCATGAGATCTATTTCTGAACATAATTTGCAATTAAGAACTTCCCTCAACCTAGATGCAGAGGTAAGTTGCAGCCACAAACACAATGAGTTCATTGCATAGAGAAAAATCAGTCTTCTGAACAGAGAGGGAAAAGCTCTCCACAGAAGCGATTCATGCAGACAACTGCAATTTTGATGATCTCTCTCTCCTCAGCTCTTTCTCACCACCCCTTCTTTGTGACCAAGCCAGCTACAAAAGGGCACAGTCAACCAAGCCATGTTGAAATGACGAACTTCCCTGCAACTGGTTACCTGGGTGCCCTAGTGGCGTAGCACACCAACCATGCTTATCCAGGCCACAAACTGGTAAGCTGGATCAAACGGCACTCCTTCCGTTTAAGCATAAGCCCTTGTTGTGCAGAGGGTAGCATGGTACATGAATACATTTAATCAGCATTATATGATAGGCCCAAAAATAATCCAGTGCCTTCCTCTTTCTAACAACTCTGTTCGGTTAAGTCCTGTTTCAATTTAGTGAACTATTTAAAACTGGCTATCTGTAGTTCCATCATTTCCTTTTCTTCCAAGGTATAAAATGGAAATAAACTGATCAAGTTTTGCTTTGAAGTTTAAAGGGGGGGGGGAGTTAAGGCAATTGAAGGAGATGTTTTAATACATATATAGTACAAACAAATCCACAGGGTGGGGGTGGGGGGTAAAACAAGATGGACAACTTCACTCAGAATGAATGGTAAAAGCAGATGTTTTGTGATGGAAAGACAAGTTCTCTTACTTTTTTACATTCCCAGCCAATCACTCCACTACAGTTCTCTTCTGTATTCTCAACAAAGTGCAAAACAACTCCACAAAATAGAATCTTCTGTGTTCCCATCAGGAATGGGGCTGGTGTGGCCACTAAGAGGAGAGCAAAAACAAAACAACAGCAATTCCTCTTCTTCCCAGGGAAGATTCTCGTCACCAAATCCCTCTCTAGGTCAAGGGTAGTAGGAATGCTAGGCTTCTCAGAGCTATTCCCAGGTAACTGACTTAGAGCACTCTTCCCGTGCTGACTGCTGCTGTAGCTTTGCTATCGGTAAGGTGAGGAAGATGGGACTGAAGGATGGGAAGACTGGGCCTTAGCTAAGGCGGATCACTTGCAAAGAGCTCTTTTACAGAACAGAGTAGGCATGAGTTCCATCCACAAGATAGTTAACAGGCAACTGCCTCTCCTCCCTCCGGGATAGTGGTCATGGTTAATCTAATAAGGAAGGCTCAGTCGGTCTGATGATGGTGGGTCGGTTCGGCGCTGCAGGGGGTCTTCTACTGCAGAAAGAAGAAAACAGGGAGACAAGTAAATGCTGAGAAAGAGAAAACTGGACAGACAGAGGTCGTCACAAAATAGGTGAAGCCGGTGCTCATAACCCAGAAGCAACTGGATATCTCTGTATTCTGAATGGCAAAATAACTATGCCTTTTGGCATAAGCAGCCAACAAGTAGAGACTACAGGGCTCATCATTCAATATTATCTTCCAGACAGCCAGGGTTCAAACAGCATCCCAATCTGCCATATCTTTTCTTTCATTGCTGACAGAAATGTGTGCCTTTGTGCCATTCAGCGATACCAAATCTGGCTCAACCATGTTTGTAACAAACTCTAGGCAAACAACAGGCACACTATAGAAGAGGGTGGCATTCCCCAGTAAACGTGACACATGTGATCATCTGCCAGCTGGCATCACTCCTTTGTCTGCCTTCCTTGGTAAACTGCTATGCGATGGAGAGCCATCATTATAGTTTTGCTACAATACAGGGTACACTTTTTAAAGAAGGAGAAAAAAGAATTCTGCAAGAAGGTGACTCAAATTCTGCAGCAAGAAGTGACTGAATTTCGTCATGTGTAGGTATTATACAAATAAACATGGGATTGTCATAAATTTTTGGAAAATACATTCAGCTATGCTTATGAAGTAATAGGTTCATATGTACTTATGCAAAAACCTTCTGTTCTTATGAGCAACCATCCCTGGACAAAACAAACAAACAAACATAGGAATGTAAGGAACTTCATCAACATTAAAGCAAAAAGTTACTTCTATACCGTCCCATGGGGCTTAAAGCACTCTCTGGGCACTTTACAGTCTAATTATGCAAGCTAAACACTGTCCTGACAAGCAAGCTGGGTACTCAATTTACCAATTTCAGAAGGATGGAAAGTTGAGTTAATCTTGAGCCAGCTCGCTTTGGGGACATCATTAGCAATTTTACACCCTTCTTTTATTTATTTATTTATTTATTTAGAATGTTTTTTACTCTGCCTTTCTCCTTAAAAAGTACCCAAGGCAATTTACATCTAAGGTTATGTTTAAAAGCTAAAAACAATACGTACCAACATATTCACAATAGCTAAATAAATATTGTATTAAAATGGTGGCTGGTCTTTGACCATAATAAAGTTTAATCAATCAATCAATCAATCAGTCCGTCCATCTGTCTATCTTAAAATGGTAAATAAAATCTGTCTGGATTAAGCTTATTAACTCTCATCCAGCTCACTACTAACACTAGACACTGATGTCAAACCAAAGCAGCTTTCTTGGATATAGATGGAAAGGAGAGAGAGAGTTGGGTGTCATCCACATACTGGTGACACTAAACCCCAGAATTCCAGACAACCACTCCCAGTGGTATCATGTAGATGTTACATTGCATAGGACACGAAACAGAGCCCTGAGAGACCCTACAGGCCAATGGCCAGAGTGCTGAACAGGAGTCCCTCAGCACCTTCTGAGTTCTCCCCTCCAGGAAGGACCAGAGCCACAGTAAACAGTGCCTCCAAGTCCCATCCCAGAAAGATGCCACAATCAATGGTTTTGAAAGCTGCTGAGAGGTCCAGCAGAACCAACAGAGACACACTCCCACTGTCCAATTCTTGGCGTAGGTCATCCACCAAGGCAACAAAGCAGTCTCTGTCCCATAGCCAAGTCTGAAGCCGGATTGAAAACCAAGCAGACATGGTAGCCAAGGGTCCTGCACACATCCTCAGGCTGCAAATCTGAAACTTATCCATTAACACCGGACAAGCAGGGGCCATAGTTACATTCAAAGGACCTATATCAACGACAGCATCCAAGCCAGGGCAGAGTCTCAATTTTTGTCTGAAACCATAAGCACTAAATAGTTAAAATACAAGCTCCAGTTCTCAGGTAGCTAAATTCTATGCCCAGTGTTAAAATCTGCAATTTTTTTCTGTTCGTGTAAGGAAAAAACACAGCAAGACATGCAGATAGCAAACCATTTTTTTTCTATCACTGCTACTTCTAAATTCAGGATTGTTTATGTGACATGACTTCCCCAGTGAGCTTTGAAAAGGAGGCAGTTTTCGTCCTTGCAATAATGAAATGAAAACAATTCTCCTCCAGGAAGAATCCACCATTTTAAAGGGGAGAGGTTTCAATGCTGGTGAGCAAAATTAGCAGCAGTTCCTTTCTTTGGGCCAGATGTTACTGCTTCATCTGATTCACATTACACATACCTCACTCAATCTAGGAAGATGCACCAAATAAATATGTTGCATGGGCTATTTTTCCAGATGCCAGTTCTAAATTCTACCTTATTCCAGTAGCCTTCTTACTCTTCCAATGTGTTTTTAAGTTAAAAAAGTCCTCTTGTGTCCCCAGGAGGGAGGGATCATTAAGTCACATTTTGCTGCCGGGTCTGGACGTTAACCACCCTTATTAGAAAAAGACCTGTAAGCTTGAAGGCCTATCAACACAGTGGTTGCTGCAGCTGTACAAAGACAAGATGAGCACAATGAAAAGATGCAAACCTGAACAACCCCCTACCTGGGTACGCCTGGGGGGATACCGGGTGGAACACGTGCTGGTCGGGAAGGAATCTGAGGTGGGGCTGAGAAAGGGTCATTGTTAGCAGCAAATGCACTTTGCGGTCCAGGGCGTGAAGGAATGGGTGGTGCCACGAAAGAGGAAGGCCCTGCTGCTGGCACTGGGATCAGTGGAGGGCCTGGCAAAGGACCCCTCACAGCTGGGGGTCTCCCCGGTGGCAACACAGTAGAAGGAGGCCTGCGCTGCGGTGTCGGGCTGCAAAAGAAAGGGAATCATCATCACAAGTAAGACTAGTTTGTGCAGTTGAAGAAAACAGAATCTCAAATCACATCAAACATCTACTGACAAAAGGTGAGCTGAATGTTTAAACTGCAAGAGAGAGGGGCCGAATGTAGTTCCTCAGGCTCTTCCTGGAGTTCTGATTATGTCGTTCACCTGAGATTTGCCCCTTTCAACTTCTGGCTGTCTTGGCTCCCCTGCATGTTTTAGCAAAAAGCGATGGCAGAACCAGATGGCTGCTTCATGCCAACTCACCTATGCCCACTGCTTCCTGCCTGCAGCCATGTGTCATCCACAGGAGGAGGAACCGGTGTGGAAACTGTGCTGGTACTGATGTCGCCAATGATGTGCAACGCTTCCTTCAAGGCATGGTACATTCGCAACATGTCATCCCTGCGCTGTGCCTGGTCTGCAGATTCCTCCATCAAGCTATTTTGGTCTGCAGAGGAGTACAGGTAGGCAAGCAGCTCTGAATGGATGAAATCCTTGGTCTGTAGTAGTGGAGGGGAGGAGAAAGACAAGAACACAGAGGTAAATACCCTCTCCATCTGACAGTCTGGACTTGATATGTCCAGCCTAGAGTAATTCCAGGGCAGGAACCTGCTCACATTTATCTGCAGCAGTCAGAGAGAAACACTCTTTCATGCCTGTCACTGGCAAAAGGATTCAAGATCTCCAGGAATACACACTCCCTCCCTCTCAAAAAGATCAGCCTGGTTGAGGAGCTATCTCTCATTTTCATGCATATACTCCACCTGCCAGCCTTATTCATTTCTATTGCTGAGAACCACTACAAAAGATAATCTTTTTCCTTGAAAAGCAGAATAAACACAATGTACGCAATGTACCCAAGTAATATACCATATTTTTCTGTGTATAAGACTATACTTTTGTCTAAAATCTTTAGACTAAAAATTGAAGGTTGTCTTATACACGGAAGTAAGCTGAGGAGAGAAGAAAAAACAAGTGGAGGGGAAAGCAGGGATCAAAGTAATCTTGAAGCACTTTGATCCCTTTCCCCCTACACTTGCTAAGCCTCACTTAGATTTCTTAATTTTGGATTAGAAAAGTGGGTGGCATCTTATACATGGAAAAATACGGTAAACATAAAGAATGACATGCTTTATTCATCTTTTGTTGCAGCCTCTTATATAAACCTTTAAAACAAACTATTCAAAAATAATGTACAGTGGTGCCTCGCATAACGATTTTAATTGGTTCCCAAAAAAAACGTTATGCGAAACATCGTTATGCGAATTCATCGCTAAACGAGGCAATCGTTAAGTGAGGCACCACTGTATTGCTAATATTTAACAATGATTTACTCACATAAGGAAAACTACTGAGGTAATTTCCTTGTAACTTGATGGCAATTAGGAATTTTGGGGAAAAGGCACCTGCTTGCTCAAATATGTTTTAGTTCCAATTGAAAAGATTAAAAGATTGTCAGGTAAAAACAACAAAGTGTGTGCTTGCTGTTTTGTTAACTTTACACTGCATATATGTGTATACATAGTATTTAAAGGGAAAAGCTTTTGATTTCTGTAATTAAATAAGAGGGTACATTTGAAAAAATTTATATTTGTTAATTTGCATGACACAGCACACTTACCCAAGCCAAGCACCATATACAACTTTTATTATTTAAATTTAAACTATTTACTATTTAAACTTAAACCTCTACTAATAAAGGTTTTAATGGGATACATACATTTATTTCCTTAAATTGTAGGGTGTGTGCTCTTTTGTGGACTGCAATTCCCAGAATTCTGTGGTTCTGAGAAAATTTGTTTATATTGAAGACTTGATTGTTGACAATGGAGTTGATAACAATGGAGTTGATAGAGTGCTTTGGGTGGAATCTGGAGGCATGTTTAATGGTTAGTGGGTTTCTGATATAAGAAAGATAAGAGCCTTGTGGCGCAGTGATTAAACTGCTGTACTGCAGCCAGAACTGTGCTCACGACCCGGGGCTCAATCCCAGGTAGCCGGCTCAAGGTTGACTCAGCCTCCTAGCCTTCCGAGGTTGGTAAAATGAGTACCCAGCTTGCTGGAGAGGAGGGGGAGAGAAGGTGTAGCCTGCATAATTAACTTGTAAACTGCCTAGAGGGTGCTTGAAGTAGTATTGGGCGGTATACAAGCAGGAAGCTTTGCTTTCTGCTTTTATTCTATTGCTTAAAGGTAAAACAGTTGTATGTAAGAATATAACTCTCAATGAATGTGACAGTTAGATTTGCATGACCTCATGTAGAATATTATATATTTGATGACTTATAGATCAGCTTTGTGAGAAACATACATGTAAAGCGTCTGCATAGCCATAGTGGCTAGGGTGGTACCCTCTGGAAGGCTGTGAGTAGACCAGAGTTCTCTTAGGAAGTCTGTTCTAGCTCTGTACCTAGGGGTGCTGAAGGTTTTAGGACACATATCCAGACACCCCAGCAGTGATGGTACCTATAATCATCACAATGAGCTATTCAGGGTTACCTACTCTGTGTATTCTGGACAGTCGGCAGAAAGTGCCTAATTGAGCATCTTATGGTATATATTAGAGATGGGGGTATTCAAATACAAATATGAATATCCCCACGCAGCTGGATTTAACGAGGGGCAGGCCCCTGTGGCCTGCCTGTTCACTCATGCGTCTGCCAGCGGCCTCGCTCCTCCTTCCAATTGCTCCTGGAGCTCTGCTCTCTTCCTGCTGGCCTGACCACTCCAGCCAGTGGGAGGGAGGACGAGTCTCCCTGCACAGCTGCTGAGTGGCCAGGCAAGGGGGAAGAGAGCAGAGCTCCAGGAGCAATTTGAAGGATGAGCGAGGCTGCCACTGCCACTGGACACATGAGTGGACGGGCCGACTGCATTCGTATACGAATACCCACATCTGTAGTATATATGTTAGGATTTGGTTATTGACATATCCAGGAAATTCTTTCATCATGTTGATGATGGAAGCAGTTCCTTCTGCTATTCAGTATTTGAGTGTGTGGCTAGGTAATGTGTACAATTAGACACTGTATAAAAATGTCCCTTGGCAGAATATATTTGCACAATACTGGAAAAATGAAGAAACACCTACAGATCAAGAAATAATTAAAAAGATATTCAACTGCACTGAAATTGATAAACTGACACTGAAAATCAAAGGAAAAGAAGACACAGAATATTATCAAACATGGAACTTGTTTTATCAATGGTTAGAAGCATGTTAAGAACGTAATATGTATTGTAGTTGTATTAACAAATAATTATAAGCTGAACCCAGGTGACACAATGTTAAATAAACATAGATGGGATTTCATAAATAATAATAATAAAAAGAATTTTTTTAAAAAAATGTCCCTTTGCCTCCTGCATTCAATGTAATTTGTTCATGACAATAACGGAGCCCATGTCCCTTGGCCTCCTGCATTCAGTGTAATTTGTTCATGACAATAACGGAGCCCCTCATTTGTCACCATCTTTGATGACAGTATTGGGCTTGTCCTGAGAATACGGATAGCCTCACACTCCATTCGGCTGAGACTGTGTGGCAAACAGAATCACAGAAGGGGAAGGGGCCTATAGGGCCATCAAGTCCAACCCCCTGTTCAATGCAGGAATCCAAATCAAAGGCCATCCACCAGGTAGTTATCTAAAGTTCTCTTGAATGCCTCCAGCCTCCAGTGTTGCGACTCTCACCTCTCTTGGGGTAATTGGTCCCATTATGTGTCTGCTAATAATGCTATTGTCTCCTCAACTATGTATAATTGCTTATAGGTCTGTGGCTAAATATTTTACTCCATCTGTCTAAAAAAGTGGATTAAAAACTCAAACTAAAATAATTTTTTTCAGTGTCTTTAAGGCACCACAATACTTCCTGGTTTTATTTTTATTTAGCGCTTCTTAAGGGGAAGGAAGAATTTCTGAGTAAATTTTGTTTTCTGTTTGGCTTCCCTGAACATTGTCACCTCACCTGCACAATCGTGTGCAGCCTATTCATGTGTTAACTGTAACTGTGCGTTCATTCATTTGTGTGTTCATTCATACAAGGCTGGTTGTTAAGCAGAATTGTGATGCACAGGAATAAGATCTACAGGAAGTAACTTGCAGTAATTCCCAAACTCTATGCTGAAACTGATGAACAATGTCAGCAGAGTGGTGTAAACCTAGTTTCAGCCAAGAAATAAATGACAAAAAAAACTCACATTGTTTATCATTAGGTGCATTATTGTCTTTGGCATAAGGTCCCGAATAGATTTGTTGATGATTCCAACATAAGAGTCAACAAGATTGCGGATAGTTTCCACCTGGCGCTCCAACTGAGGATCCATAGAAAAGGTGTTCTCCTGAGCCCCATCTTCATTCTCTGCCTACAAGGATACAAATTGACAATATTGTACCGTTCCCTTGATAGCACAGGGAAGAGCCAAACCACTGTCATCATCACGTGCTCATTTGATCCTAAAAGAGCAGTCTTGTTAATCTGTAGTAGCAAAATCAACAAACTGTTTTGTAGTACCTGAAAGAATTACACATTTACTACTGCGTAAGTTTTAATTGATAACAGGTCACTTCAACGTATGAAGCATTTTCCAGAATTTCCAACATATAAATAAACAAAATATGTTAGTAACAGTAGTTACTGTCAGTACCTCCTACATTTTATTTCCTTTTGACTTCGCTGTTTATAAATTCCTACCTTCCAATTCTATGCATGCAAGAAACTCTGGATAAATTCATGCATCTGATGAAATGGGCTGCAGTCTATAAAAGTGGGGACAGAGTAAGTGTGACTGCCTTCAAGATGCAAGAATCTTTGCTGGTTTTGCTGTCTCAGTGTTTCCTGCAATTACAAGCAACTTGAGTCTGCAATACTGCTTTGTGACATACAATCCAACTAGATGAGGAACTGTGGGGGATTATGAACTCTTCTCTACCCCTGTCAAACCAAGTATCTCCTTGTTTCTTCAGCTTCTAGTTCACTATATAAGATGACTTGCATTTTGCAGGTATAGGTATATTCAAGCAGGCCACAGGCAAATGCAAAATTGGTGACTACAAACAGTACATCAAGAATGCAACTCAGATAAAACATGGCGAGGGAATAAGACGAGGAATGGTATATAGGCTGAAGAATATGAGATGGTATTAACTGCAATTTTTTCCAGGCTTCTTAAACTGCTCTTTTGTAGTTATGGAGAATAAAAATTCCTTTCTTTTCTACTTGTGAAACTGAAGAAGATGTAGGAATCTTGCTAAATTAAACTTTCTGTACAAATGGGAATGCACAGGCTGACCAAAGTTATCTCACATCTGCTAGCAATAGAGTTGATATGCCCATGACCAGAATAACCTTATATTTTCTTTGTCAGCTATTACATTGAATTTTTAAAATTTCATTATATATATTGAAATAATTATTTTTATTGCATCTATTCAATATAGTATCAACGTTGTACCTTTTTCTTTATTTCTAAAAAAATTCTCATTATATACTTGATTTTCAATCCTAAAGGAAGCTATCAAAACATATTCCTGGTGTCTGTATTATTTTGTTATCAATATGAACCAAAAAGAGGGCAGGACACATGGGGGAAGGAGAGAGATCAAGGCATTCATATCTACCAGATTATTATTTTCCTGTTTTCTTCTCCTAAAATTTTGGTGCGTCTTATGGAGCAAAAAATAAGGTATACTTATTTTTTACATCTAGATTTCACTGTCGGAGACACATAATTTCAGTGCATGAAAATGGAGAGGAGGAGGAGACAGCTGAAATTTATTCCATCTGTCCCCTTCTTCCAAGAAAATTCTGTAAAAATAATGGAATGTGAACTCTGTCATTCAAGACATTGTGCTCAGCAAAACAGAACCCACTACTGGTGTCTTGAATTAACCAATTTTTTTGGGATGGACATACAGTGCAAGAGAAATGCAACCTTGTGAGGGAAAACAGTAGCCGCTAAAATATCGCTGCTGTAGTGTAACCCTACTAACTGGGCTTTCAACAAACCACTCCTCCCTTTCCTTCAAATGACTGAAAAAGGGGGGAAAAAAGAATGTTTACTTGGTCTTTCTCAGGATAAACACCAGCACGAAGAAAGGAAGCCTTCCAGCTGTCCACATCTTCCTGGGAGTCACAGGCAAGTTCTATCTGACGCAGGTCTTTATATACATTTCTAAATCAGGAAGAAGAAGAAGAGTGTGAAAAAGACAAATCCCGCTAAAGCAGAATAGTCCACACTGTGCAATTTTTAAAAATCCTATTACAGGAAGATGCAGGTTTGCCTTCACTTATTTGATTAATTTCTGTGACTAGAACAGAAAGTTTGAAGGAAGACTCAACCGATGGAATGTTAGTTCAGCCATCTAAAAGTGCTGTACTACTACAGCAGTAAGTGACCAGAATAACTGTGCACTACATTTAAACTACACCAATGGTTTCCACTAGATTTTAAAATACTACAGATTATCTATACTTTCTCAGCCCAGTGTCCTTTAGGTATCTGGACATCAAACCCATGAAACCCAGCCACTAGCCAAGCTGACTGGGATCACTGCAACCTAAACATCAAAGCATCAAAAGGAAGAAGAAACTTTTACTCCGTTTCCTTCTTCTCTAACAGGAGTATTATGTCATGCCTTCTCTTAAGACTTCTCTTAAGGGAAGAGGGGACTCAAGATGAATCATGCTCTGTTATATATAGCCTCTTTTCAGGAGCTGCTCAACCTTCATCACATAACACGAGATAGTAAATGCTTTGTTTTGAATACTGAACATGCAATAAGCAAGTATCTCAGAAATTAATTGATGGCAAGGCATGGGAATCAATCACTACTTTCTCAATCAAGGAAACATTCTATCTGAAGAATGATCAATGCCAGAAAGAGAAACTCAACACATGTGCTGTGTATATAACACTGTTTTCTGTTATGTCTGGACTTCAGGTGGAGTTCACTTCTAGTATGTATTTTAAGAACGAACCTAGTTGACCACTCTCAAAACTTCTGCTCACTTCTAGTATGTATTTTAAGAACCTAGTTGACCACTCTCAAAACTTCTGGCCTTACACAAGACTAGTAAAACAACTTTCTCACAAGTTTATCCATGAGGTGAACAAAATGGTCAAATTTTTTTCTTTAAGAAGTCTGAAAGGAAGAGGCAGAGCTATTCTGTAGTACTGTATTATAACAGCAGTTCTTTACCTCTGTTCGGTGTTAAATATAGCAAAAACATGCTTGTTAGACATGAAGCCCTTCTCCACATCCCTGATTTTTAGGTTGTCCAGAGGCAGCATGTACTTCTTCTCTTTCTCCTGTGAGGACAAGAGGAAGGGGTGATGAAAGACAAAAATGCGTATGTTGGCTTTATGCTATGACAAGAAACTCAACACATTAAAATTGACCAACCATCCATTCTTTCACAACCCATCCTTAGGGAATTTTTATTTTCAAGCTCCCCAAATTCATGTGCAGAAGCTCAACACAAGATTGCAATGAAGTTTTTATATAATGTTATTTGTTTATACGTACTTATTTAACACACTATGGTGTTCTATTATTGCAACCAGCATTTGCGAGTACTGAATACTTGCAAATGTTTGTGCTTTGCTATTGCTACAATCAAAAAGGGAAAAAAATCTCAACAGACCAAGAGAATCTTTATTTGAAAAACAAAGAAACCCTTGAAGTATCGGTTTGATGTGCAAAGAGATGTCTAATGGAATAATAGTATCTCTGACAGTTCTGATTTGTTGACACACAATGTTAATGTTACCTCCCATGAAGCCTTTAAAACTGAGGCCTGGAAAGTCTAGACGAAAGATTGCCCGTGCAGTTGTTTTCTGCTCCTTGCATTTTCTATACCCCTTTCCTCTTATTTTCTACACTCTTAATCATGGCCTCCATTTGCAAATCCATTGCACTGGCATGCTTGGTTCTATCTGCATTTGAGCTAAAAGAAACCCAATGTCTTAGAGTTCCAGAGCTTCATAGTCTTACTGCTGCCACCACCCAGCATCTTATAATAATAAGTATTCCTATGAAATGTTGAAGAAAATAATTAGGTGTTGTTTAACAGTTCTACATATGAATTTGTAACCACTGTACATCATCACTTTGGGAACTGAATGCTAAACTGGCAGTACTCAGATCATGCAAGCAAAGTCCAGCCAGCTTATGAGTCTGTCCCTTTATCTCAAAGCTGGCTGAAAGAAACATAAAGTTACGTCCAGAAATAACCAGACACGGACACACGTTTTGTTATTTTGGCTGTTTACCAAAGTAAATTCAAATTACAGTTAAACAATGCAAGCTTCAAGTGCAGTCTCTCAGCTTTAACATGAGGGTATTCACATCTAAATTGGAGGAAGGCTTTAGGAATTACAGCTCTTTACTGTGTAGCCCCCTTTTTTTCAAGGGACCAAAAGTAATTGGACACTTGACTCAAAAGCTCTGTCATGGACAGGTGTGGGCTATTCCTTTGTTGTTTCATCATCAATTAACCAGGTAAAAGGTCTAGAGTTGATTCCAGGTGTGCCATTCACATTTGGAAGCAACATGTGTTCAAAGGAGCTCTGGATGCATGTGAAAAAGGCCATCCATAGGTTTCAATAAACAAACAACAAAATAAAATAAATTGGCCAAATCAACATTTGGTACATTTTGAGAAGAAGAAAAAAAGAATGCACTGGTGAGCTCTGCAACACAAAAAGGTTTGCAACACAGTGGTGGATAATCAAAGAATCCTTTCCACGGTAAAGAAAAACCCGTCACAACATCCAGCCAAGTGAACACCCTCCAGAAGGTAGGCATATCGTTATCAAAGCCTATCATAAAGTGAAGACATCATGAGAGCAGATACAGAGAGCTCACCGCAAGGTGCAAGCCATTCATAAGCCTCAAGAATAGAAAGGCCAGATTAGACTTTAAATATCTTTAAAAGCCAGTCCAGTTCTGAAACAGCATTGTTTGGACAGATGAAACTATGATCAAGTACCAGAACGATGGGAAGAAAAATAGTATGGAGAAGGCTTGGCATGGCTCATGACCCACATCATCTGTAAAACGCAGCGGAGGCAGTGTGATGGCATGGGCGTGCATGGCTTCCAATGGCACTATGCCATGAGTGTTTATCGATGATGTGACAGAAGACAGAAGCAGCCGGATGAATTCTGTATAGAGATACACTGCTCAGATTCAGTCAAATTCAGTGAAGTTGATTGGATGGCACTTCACTTTACAGATGGACAATGACACAAAACATACTGCAAAAGTAATCCAGGAGTTTTTTTTAAGGCAAAGTGGAATATTCTGCAATGGCCAAGTCAATCACTTGACCTCAAGCCAACTGAACATGCATTTCACTCGCTGAGGACAAAACTTCAGGCAGAAAAACCCATGAACAAACAACAACTAAAGACAGTTGTAGTAAAAGCTTAAAAAACCATCACAAAGGAGGATACCCAGCGTCTGGTGATGGTCCATGCATTCCAAATTTCAAGGAGTCATTGCCTTCAAAGGAGTCTTGACAAATTATTAAAGATGAGTATTTTATTTAGGATTGTGTTAATTTGTCAAATTACTTTTGAGTCCTTGAAATAAAGGGACTGTGTATAAAATAGTTGCAATTCCTAAATGTTTCATATAGTATTTTTGTTCAGCCCCTTGAATTAAAGGTGAAAGTCTGCACTTCAATTGCATCTTAGATGTTTTTCAAATCCATTCTGGCAGCATACATAGCCAGAGTTATGAAAATTGTGTCAGTGTCCAATTATTTGTGGACCTAACTGTAGGCAATGCAAAGCTAACAGGAAGAGAAATAGAGAAAATTTCTCTCAGCTAGTTGGACAGACTGTACTGCGAGACATCTCTAATCAGCAAGTTACAAGCTGTTTTCCAGACTCAAGGTTTCCACTTAAAAGCCCTCCACAGCTCAAAGCTTGGCTGATTAAGGGACTGTCTCACTACCTTTTTGTTATTAAGAAGCATAAGAGAAGCTGTTTTGCAGATTCCACCACTTACAAGGAAAGATGGAAAGACAGGCACGCTTGAAGGGCATGTTTCATAAGTCTTTCTCCTGTGTTGCTTCCAAGTGGTGAAATACAGTTTCTCTCAGAGTGGCCCCCATATCACTACAGTACTTATAATAACAATGCCATTCCCTTTAGCTTGGCATTTTAAGTGGCTTGTTGTTGTTGTCCGAATGACTGTGTTTCATGCTCTTATTGTGTTTCTAATGTTTTATTGTTTATCTGTTACATACTGCTTCAGTGGCTCTGGCCAAGAGACAGTATAAAATACTAAATTAAAGAATGTATTAATAGGAAATAATCTAAAAGCCAAAAGTCTGCTGGAGGAGTTTTAAAATCAGGTTAGATCTTCTTCAAAAGGCAGTGTTACGTCTTTTCCTACTGCCACCAACTACAATAATTTTACTTTACTGCTTCGTGCACAGAATTAAAGGATCATTTAGAAACTTGGTACAAAAGGAAAGGAATCTGCCAGAGAGAATCTGTTGCAGTTCCAGATTAATACAATGGAGAAATCTGGGTGGCAAGGAGTACTATACAAAGAACAGAGAATACAGAAAACTATCTCGCCACAGAATCCTGCTCTCTTCAACAAACTGCAGCCTGGTTTGGTAAGCACACGCACACACACATATACTCAACTGCCATGAGTCACAGAGAGCAGCCTCTGCAAACCCCCCACATCTGGAATTGTTTATACCTCCAGATGCTGCCTACTTCTCTCCCACTCGGTACAGACACAGAATCCCCAAAGTGACGTTTTCCTTTGTATGGAGGCCACAAACCTCACTCCCACCCCACCCTGCCGTGATTTCCTGAAAGGCCCCAAATATTTCCCAGACTGGATTCAGTTGTAGGCTTTGCCACGTCAGAGGAGAAAGAGAAGATTTTTTCACTGACCTGCTCTAGTTACAAAATCTAGGAAAGGAGAACAGAACGAGATTGCATTGAAAGGAATCTTCTGGATTCCAGCCCCGGCTACCCAGTGTTCAGACTACCTGTTCAGGATACTACAACGGTGTACAGTAGTCTGCACATTGGTTAGACTGGACTTGGATGAGCACTGTTTCAGGGCTGCTGGCTGCTCAGGTAAGGATCTACTTCTGTTTGGGGCACAAACTTTTTTGATATTACCACAATTGTAAACATTTAAGTACAGTAGAAGTTAACTAACTGCACATAAGGGTGTGTAGTCAGTCTTCTTTGAAAACTCATCTTACTACAAAAGAAGATGACTTGAAGGTCAGGACATTTTTTAAAAAGACCACATTGCTTTGCTAAATAAACATCTTTCTTATGACCATCCATTTTAGAAATGTATACTAATCTATGTAATTGAGGAATGTGGTAAGATGCATTATCTAGAAAAGTAGAGGTTACAAACTAAATGCAAGGAGCAATTCACTTTTATAGGGTCTCTCCTTCTCTGGAAGAGTGTGACTTATTTATGCTCAGCCAGCTGGTTCTTATAATTCAAAAAAGTCCTCCACCAGAGAGGCTTCATATTGTCTATAACAACTGGGGGAGGGGGAAGAAAGTAAAGCATTTTTATTAGCTCAAAACACTTCGTTTTGTTTCAGCAGTGACTTAAAGGAAGGCACAAGCAAGGTATTTTTCCACAATCTGGCTTAGGTCTGAAGGGCAGGGCAAGGGATTTCATGAGGAAATAAATACCTTGGGGCTGGCTCCTGAAACAGCACCTGCTTGCATTTTGATAGCTCGACTGAGCCGACTGCCATTTCAGGTTCGTAAGGACCAGGTTTTACCAAGCAAGCCATCTTACCCAAAGTCTAAAGCGATGAAGCAGAAAGGAACAAACTACAGGGCTAGAACTGCTGAGTTCTTTTCCAAACGTTGAAATGCGGCGTTTGTGCAGTACAGTGGTGCCTCGCTTAATGGTTACCTTGTTAAACGATGAATCCGCTTGACAATGAGGTTTGTGATCGCTTTCGGGATCACAAAACGATGTTTTAATGGGCAAAATTCGCTTCCCAACAATCGGTTCCCTGCTTCGGGAACCGATTCTTCGCATTACGAGGATCAAAACAGCTGATCGTCGGGTTTCAAAATGGCCGCCCACTGTGTAAAATGGCTCCCCGCTGTGCTTTAGGATGGACTTTTCGCTGTACAGGCATCAGAAAATGGCCGCCCTATGGAGGATCTTCGCTGGACGCTGAGGTATTTAGCCCATTGGAATGCAATGAGTGATTTTCAATGCGTTTCAATTGGCTTTTTTATTTCGCTTGACGAGGATTTCGCTCTACAGCGATTTCACTGGAACGGAT